GTCAACAACCAGACGAGTCGGTTAAATGTTCCAGTCAACAACCAGACAAGTCGGTTAAATGCTCCTGTCAACAACCAGACGAGTCGGTTAAATGTTCCCAACAGTTACACGGATGGAAACGTTCGTTGTAACGTCCGATCGTCCTTGCAGTCCAAGACGCAAACACACTCTGGTAGCAGCAGGTCCAGTTGTTCCCACTGTCTGAAGATGAGTTCCAGGTGTTAGTCTGTCCCCCTCTTCCTGTCAACACATCTTAAGGTGTCCAACAGGACAGGCTCGAAGCAGGTCGGGGCTGCGGTCCGACCGGTCCAGAACCCATTCCTCCATCAGCCTTTGGTATCTGAGCAGAATGTTCTCAGTGAAAACCCTCAAAGATGTGGTCCTTGAAGGCAGAACCCAGATCCAAGCCTAGCCAGAACCCCAGACTGAGATCAGACCATAACATAACCCTGGTCCAAAGTCAGACCATCAACTGATCCAAGACCAGATTGCTCCAGAACCCTGACAATCACAAAACCGGACTTGTTGCTGACAAGGATCTGGACTCTGGTTCTTCCAACAAACATCACAGTCCTGATCCGTAAAACTCCTTCAGAGTCCCTGAATCCTTTCTACAACGCATCAGTTCATCTATAAATTACTGGACGCTCCAACAAGTTCATCGTTGATTCTGGAGGCCGATGGTCACAGCGACACGTTCCCTCCTCCCAACATTTAAGACAAACAGAAACCAGAACGTAAGGATTTAAAACGTTGTCCGGACCTGACTGTAGCCGACGCGCTCCACCTCGAAGCAGACGGTGAATTCACCAAGTGATGGGATGGAAACGTTCCCGGCAACCTGGGTGGTCTGTCCGACCCCGTTCAAGATCTTCACCTTCTGGTTCCTCAGCGCCACGGCAACTAGGAAGGAAGGAAAGGAAACAAGGAAAGGTCAAGAGTAAGGAATAAAACACGAGGAGGCAAAAGTCGAGGAATGCCAGAGAGAAAAACAACAAAAGACGTTAATGAGAAATTAAATAATAATGGGAAACACACAAAAGAAGAATAAACTGAAACAAGAATAAAGAAATATATATTCTATAAACAGATGGGTCACAAAATCAAGGCATAAAAACTAAATAAAACTGGAAAATGAAAATAACAAGAAATTGATAAAAGTTATAACAAATAAAATGATAGAGAATAAAAGTACAATAGGAAGAAATCAATGAAAAATATAAAGGAAATAAATAATATACAATAAAAATTGTCTCATTATTTGCTGAACTAAAGAGTTTCTTTAAATACAGACGACCAAGTTGTTTATTAAATAAATACTTTCATAAAATTTTGACAGAAAAAGTCAATTTTAAAAAAAAAACAAAGAATAACTTTAAAATTCAAGTTTCAAAGATTTAAAAATCCATTTTGTCCTTTTAAAAGTTAATAAACGACTTTGACTTTGAACGTTTTAAACACAATTTAAAATAAAAACATAAAAATAATCCATAAACATCAAGACATAAATCATCTTAGCCCAGAAAATCTCTGAATCTGCCCAGTCTAATAAAGAATGAAGAAATACCACAAATAAAAATGAGCGATGCGTAATAACAGAAAATCTAATCTGATTTAGTTCTAAGGAACAATTTTGAAAAACATTAATTTTGGAAGGAGGTGAGGTTCGAGTGCCGAGCAGAAACGGTTTTTATGCATGACTTAATTCTAAATGGATCTGAACATTTATTCCTAACTCAATCAAATACAAAATAAATAAATAAAAAACTCAAAATAGGAGATTTTACACCACAATTAATTTGAATCAAAGGTGGAAAAGGCCAGACTGAAACCTTCAAATGACCACAGGAAGAAATAACTGTCTGCTAAACGTCTGCTGGTAATTATCTGTACAGTCAACATCTATAGTGTCAATGTCTGTAAATTAATTAATTATCTGTACAGTCAACATCTATAGTGTCAATGTCTGTAAATTAATTATCTGTGCAGTAAAAGTTTGTCCAGTCAATGTTTAACTGGTAAATGTGTGTCCGGTAGTTGTTTGTATAGTAAATGTGTGTCCGGTAGTTGTTTGTACAGTAAATGTGTGTCCGGTAGTTGTACGGTAAATACCTTTAGCTGAATATCTGTTCAGTAAACTCTGATAAATATTTGGTAAAGGGACGAAAACTTTTCGTGCATTTTGTTGTTTTTCTGCAGATTGACAAATATTGAAAACATTCTCGGGCCCCAACCTCAGAACTTGGCATGATTTTAAAACATTTTTAGATTCATATTTCTTTTTTTGTGGAAACACTGGAACAAAAACAGTCCCGTGTCGCCCTCCTGGTGTCAGCATCTACATTAACGGTGAAAATGCAGAGAAGGAACCAGACTCGGGTCTCAGAGAACTCGTTCAGTTTGTTCATCGTTTCAGCGCACCAACAGTCTAAAGGTGACACGTACACGAGACGAACACGTTTTATTTGAGTTTCCACACAACAAAAACTTTCATTTGTAATAAAATATAAAGAGGACGTGGACAGGAACTTTTGAACTGTTTTAAATTTTAAATATTTTGTTGACTGGCTGCAGGACGGGTTTGGAAATTGTTGCAATGTGTCAGAGCATCGGTTCATTCTACGTAGAATTAACCTTTTATATTCGTCTGTGATAATTTAACAATTCTTCTTCTTGGAGCTGTGGCTCTAAACAAACAGCAGCCGCTAACCCTGCTAGCTGCTAACCCTGCTAACAGCTAACCCAGCTAGTTGCTAACCCTGCTAGTTGCTAACCCTACTAGCTGCTAACCCTGCTAACTGCTAACCCTGCTATCTGCTAACCCTGCTAACTGCTAACCCGGCTAGTTGTGTGTGCACATACAGGTGTGCAGTGGAGAGCATCCTGTGCTCGAGCATCAACGTGTGGCATGGAGGCTGCACAGCTGCAGAAAGAAAAGCTTTGCAGAGAGTGGTGAAGGCTGCACAGAAGATGTTGGAGTCAGTCTCCCCACCATCACAGACATCTACACCTCCAGATGCAGGAAGAGGGCCACCTGCATCATGAAGGACCCCACTCACCCAGCACACACACTTTTTGCCCCACTCCCCTCAGGAAGGAGGTTGAGGAGCATTAAGTGTAGAACCACTAGACTGAGGAACAGCTTCTACCCTGAGGCTGTTAGACTCATGAATCTCTAACTAGAATAATCACTGTGAAAAACCATATTATGTTGCTGCTGATCTGTTTCATGTTGCTGCTGATCTGTTTCAATGTTGATGTGTTCATGCGTGCACATCTGCTCACAGACTCATGTTCATGTTTGTGCTGATGTTCAATGTTTTATGTTATGAGTGCTTAGTGTATATTTAGTTGATGTTTTTCTTAGTTCATATCTTAGATGTTATTACTGTTTTTCTTATACATTTTATTGTTGGATGTAACTGGGACCCTGTGTACATAATTTCGCTCCACCACATGTACCACATGAGGTGCGAATGACAATAAAGAAACTCTGACTCTGACTCTGACTCTGTTAATCCTGCTAGCTGCTAACCCGGCTAGTTGCTAACCCTGCTAGTTGCTAACCCTGCTAGCTGCTAACCCTGCTAACTGCTAACCCGGCTAGTTGTTAATCCTGCTAGCTGCTAACCCGGCTAGCTGCTAACCTGGCTAGTTGCTAACCCGGCTAGTTGCTAACCCAGCTAGTTGCTAACCCTGCTAGTTGCTAACCCGGTTAGCTGAAGACCTTTATAGGCCGTTGTTTTTACTGAGCCAATGGATCAGCACGAGGGGGTGCACATATTCTGACAGTGAAACGGCGCTCACCCAGGACCACAGTTTCCACTTAATTATCCTTTCAAAATAAAACGTGATGACAGAAAAAGGCACTGAGAGTTCTTTTACTTTACTTTTCAGTTTGTTCATCTTTCGAGAGCGGCGCGGGTGGAAAGTGTGTTGAAAAACGCACCCAGACTGGAAAAGCATCAAAGGGGAACGATTAACAACGTCACTACGACGTGCTGGTAATAAAATAAAACAAACCTGTTGGGGAAACTGCAATAATCCTTCAGATTTGTCGATGTTATTCTAACTAATATCTGAAACCCCCGGTCGATGGGAATGCAGCCTGGGTTTTTGGGTCAATGCTCATTTTGTTGTTTGTAGAAGTTTTTGGAGACCGGAGTAAATTAGAGGTTTTATCAAACTAACTTTAATCTGTACATCAAACTACATAAAACAGCTAGTTAATGATCAACTGTTTATCTATATTTAACCTTTTTTAATGAACGAGTTTATAAACCAACAAGAGGAATTTCACTGAGCAGACATTGAAGGCAACAGTCCAACACAACAACTCTGTCAGGATCCTTTCAGCCTGAAAAGCATGAGGAAGTTTGGGTTAGCCTGAACCTACCGTGTTGGAAGCTAACGCTGAACCCCCTCTTCTGAATGCTGAAGTCTGACGTGAAGGACAGCTCCATCACGTTCCCAGTCGAGTTCAGGGTCATCCCGCTGGCCGTCAAACCACAAAACCTGGCTTCTGTGTTACCGGCGTTCACCACAACCCAGTCATACTTGCAGCCCGGCGCCTCCTCCAGTTCGAAGTCCATGAAGTAAAGCTGGATGATGAAGCCGGTTGGGGCCTGCATGGTCCACTTACAGCTCTGGGAGTTGGGGTATTTCTGGGGGTAGCAGGGCGACGTGAACTCCCCCTGGGCCTCCGTTAGCACCCTGTTACAGTTTATGGAGGTGCAGCCCAGTACTGGAGGTGACAGTAGGACAAAAGTCAGTCAAACTCCAGAAGCTTCATCAAGAAGACGAGGACATGCGAGGACGGAGGGGACAAGACAAAGAAAGACAGGACAATGGGATCCTCAAGGTGGTACGGAGGCAAGACTAGCGGCGAACAAACCTGATGGAAGAGCTGCTTCCATCAGGAGGAGAGCGAAAGACAGAGACACTTCTTTTCCTGAGACTTCAGTACAAAGAAAGGATTTCAAGGAGGTCACAAGGATTTCAAGGAGGTCACAAGGATTTCAAGGAGGTTACAAAGATTTCAAGGAGGTTACAAAGATTTCAAGGAGGTTACAAGGATTTCAAGGAGGTTACAAGGATTTCAAGGAGGTTACAAAGATTTCAAGGAGGTTACAAGGATTTCAAGGAGGTTACAAAGATTTCAAGGGGGTTACAAGGATTTCAAGGAGGTTACAAGGATTTCAAGGAGGTTACAAAAATTTCAAGGGGGTTACAAGGATTTCAAGGAGGTTACAAGGATTTCAAGGAGGTTACAAAGATTTCAAGGAGGTTACAAAGATTTCAAGGTGGTTACAAGGATTTCAAGGAGGTTACAAAGATTTCAAGGAGGTTACAAGGACTACAAAGACTCAGACCAGGACCAAAGCAGAAACACGAGGACAGTTTCCATAATCAAGAAAAAATGGATTAGAGGTCGTGCAGGAGACAAAAAGGTCAGCAGCCTTAAAGGAGTTAATCTAACGATGCGATTGGTTGTAGCACGTAGAAATAAAATTCTGACTGGCAGCCACACCAAGCCGAAGTTCAGCTGTTTTAATACCAAAACATCTGGAGCTGCACGGGAGACGAAACATACGAGTAAGAAACAACAATTCTTTAATAAACTACAACTCCTACACTTCTGCTGCTGAGAACGTAACGTCTCTACTTCCATGTTTAATGTTGTTGTCAAATCAAAATGATAAATAAAAACAGCCGAAGGTTGTTTGTTGTTTGACTTCATGAGGATTTTCAGTGAAATCTGAAACATCCCCTCGGTCACTCCCCACAACGTCACTAATCTAAAACATACCGCCGTCGTTTCAACAACTTCTGCGAGGGAAGGAGTTCCCAGCATGAAAATAAAATCCTAACAGAGACGAGCTGAAATGGAAAGTGTAAAGAAAGGTTCGCCTCATTCAGGGCAACAATGGACTCTGTTCATCAGAGCTCGGCTTCACCGCAGCCAAAACCACAGCCGACGCACTGGAAACGTCAGAAACGCCGCTCTGTGAGAATGAAGCTCCTCTCAGCTTGCACAACAACAGCTGAAGGTTTTCACAAACAGGCCGAATGTTGGTCACAATGAG